GCTAGTTAGTGTACCATGAATTCTTAGCTGATAAAATGACCATTATAGAACATTGCAAACTTTTTTTTTTTTTTTTTTTTTTTTTTTTTTGAAAGGGCCAAATAGAAAAAATTTTAAGACTCAGCAGGCCAAAGAAAAAAGTTAAAAAATTCTTTTCAAAGTGATATTTTCACATAACATTTATACACATTTTGCTGACACACACACACACACACACACATTGAAAAAAATTCTATTTATTAATATATATATATTATAGAACAAGTTAAATTTCATATAATTGTGATGAATGAATTTTTTTCCCGAGATAATATATAATTAAATTCACATTGATAAATACTTTCAAAAACAAATATAAATCCTAATGCATAAGATTTTAGTTCACTGTATTTATCTTCTGAAAGGCATGTATAGAACTGGGTAAGATCTATTTCTTCAAACATTATTATTATTATTATTATTATTATTTTTCCAGATCATCATTTTTTACTTCTAATTGAAAGTCTGAGGAAAGCTTCGCAGTTTTCAATGGATTTTGAAATAAAGAAATGTCCTTGTACATTTTATGTATCAGCAATGTTTTCTACCGTAATTTTAAATTCATTCAAATAGCCCCTAATATCTGTAGCAAATATTAATTTTCATAGTCATTCATCATTCAATAACAGTTGTGAGCAATTTTTCTGACTTTTAATAAAACTTTTCCATTGCTGATTGGAACTATTGCATGATTCGATAAGACAGGTTTTTCAGTTATAAAAGTTTCAATCTACGATAAATTAATTCGCACTCCATTCTGCTTTAAAACCAAAAAATTCGAAGTTTACTTCTCTTCTTATCTGGTCTTGAGAGTCACATGGCAGTGGTGGGTAATAAATAAAATAACATCAAAATAACAACATACCACAGAGCATCAACAGAGAGTAAGCAGCACCAGACAATACCGTTAAAGCAGGACAGAGAACTAGCAGCACTTATTCTATGGCAATGGCATACAACAAATTCTGAAGCCAGTAGTGCCACATGCCATGATTATTCATAACTTCTTGACTATCAGCGGTTGCATACAGAGAGAATTTGAATGTTTCTGGATAATGCACTTTGGAAGATGAGGTTCAGCTCTAAATTGAAATGGGATTCGTTGGAGATAATAATGTACTACTAACTGACAAACAATTGGCTATGTTGATGCACCTATTAAAGCCACAGGCTTTGATGGTTTTACATCAAGGACATCTTGCACAAAGGCATAAATGCATGAGAACTATGGCACAGTAGATAATGAACTTCTGATGCATTACCCCAACACCCACCAAAATTATGATTGGATGCTGTTGAGATGAAGCTGCATTATTTGTCATTGGCATTTAAGATGAGATGCCTACTGACATAGCATTTGGTCATTCTCTTGAGCCCCCTAATTTCATTCCACGAAGGATGAAACCTTATGCCTCACAGAAGCTATAACTTAACGATATGAAAATCATCCTTCTCGCAGACTTCTTGGACACTATTCAAAGGGTGTAACTTGTTTATTGGGTTCTTTGTAATCAGCAAGACGTAATCTGGTGAAAAGTTTACTGCTGCCAGATAACAAAATGCTACATTTAACATTTCACTAGAACCCTCTACTATTCAATTAATGCCACAGTTCAGAGGAAAATGTTTAATCAATGCTATCACTCTGAAATTCTACTCATTATCGTATCATACCCTGCTTTGTATATCCTGTAAAGTCCAGATAATGTACAATTCCTTCATGGCATTCCTATCATATTATTTTAAGTATCCATAAGATACTTAAAAAATTTGTAATAATTTCCCCTACACTTAGCCACACTTGATTCTCATTGTTTGAAAAGCTAGAATGAGTTTGAACAGCATTTTTAGTTTAAAAACTGTTATACTATTTTAATATTCAGTCACCAGACTTTTTTTTTCTTTTTTTTTTTTTTATTATGCCTAGGAATATCTATACCAGTTATGGGCAAACTTCTTTAAAAGCTGGAGAGGGGGACAAAAGAAAAAAATCAGCAAACTAATATAATTTATTCTTTAAAAAGAAACTTTAAAAAGCGTATACGAATACCACAATATAAATATTAATGTAATGACAGAAGTGGGAACACATTTTCAAAATTGCAAATTCTGAGAAGTGATGCTAAATATTCATCTCTATCTCGAATAGAATTCTTCCTACAGTTCATGACAGAAAACACTTATTCACATATACAAGATGAAGCAAACATAGCACTAATTTTTTGGCCATCAGATATTAAATTATGGAAACTTACTTTGGATAATGATTTGAAAACTCTAATTCTGGAACATTGAGAAACAACTCATTGAGATGATTGTTAGACTGTAATTCAAACTGAAACTCTTGCCTCACTGCTTCACAATTTACATTGAAAGGCATGATGAAAATATCAAATTTTGTTTGAATGGCACTGAAATCTTGAAATCAGCATTCAAAATGCAATTTTTCTCACCCAATTTCATAATTATTAAGCTTGTCTTTGTTTACTGAGTGTGTTGAATTTAACCTCGAGAAATTAGACAAGTCATTCTTAGCTAGCTGCCCAGCAAAAAGATAAAGTTTTTATTTAAAACCTTCGAGATGGACCCCGAAATCATTGATAAACATATTTTTTCCCTGTATCTTGACATTTAAGTTATTCATATAACAAAAAAAAAAAAAAAAAATATCTGTGAAAAATGTGATACAATTCTGTTTTCGGGACCAGTTTCAGAAATATATATATATATATATATGCGTGTGTGTATGCACATGTGTATGGATGTATTTGCATATATGTGTATATAACACATACATGAACAGATACATCTATACACACATGCATAATACATATATTTCTGAATATAGTTCCGATAACAGAAGAGTACCAAAAATGCAAAGTCCGAAAACCATGCTGTCTCCTCCAATATACTGCGTCTCATGCAAAATCTTATGGAAAAAAGACATAATGTTGTCTTTAAACTGTCCAACTCGCTTGGAAACACATCCTGAACTAAGCCACTTAACTGTTGTGTTACTTTTGGGTAACATGGCACATCAGAGTATTCAGATTGCAAAAACAAAAGAAAATCTTAAAATTACCTGTCCACAAAGTATTTGCAAGTCTTACAATTACATCAAGCGCAGGTTTCATATTCAATGGAGATTTCACGGAGCACCTTGATGTATAAGATAATGTAGAAAGATAACATTGTTCCCAGGATACTTTTGATTAAAGAGTCTCAGAAATCTATATCTTTTTCCTATCATATCAGATATTCCATGAATCGTAATATTATATATGCTTGTAATGGGTACTTTCAAAGTTGAAAGCCTTTCCAGAAAAACATGAAGAATATCACATTCTGATATAATCCCCTTTAACAACCACATCATGCCACTTCCTCAGTAATTTCACAGTTTTCATCAACACCTCTTACAAATAATACTAGATGAGCAGTATCTTTTATATCAGTGCTTTCACTCTTTATACCTGTATAGCAGAATTTAAATTGGCCAATCCTTGATTTTAACTGTGATATCAGATTTTTACTGATATGGTTTCAATTCTAGAAGTCACTGTTTCTCAAGATATGTTTCCAGTTTAAAATCACTTTTTTTTTTTTTTTTTTTTTTTCCTTGTCTGGACATTAAACATAAAAAACTTGGAGCATGCATATTAACGGACTACCCATCACAAAGAGCTCTATTACATTTAGCAATACTGTATGATACAATGTAACTTGCATGTGCAGCTACTTAATGAATATAGTTTAACTACTTAAAACAAGTTTGTCGATCTGATAGTTTTTTACAAAGATTTTCTGCTTTTTGTTTTCTTTCATATTGTAAAATTGCTTCGTAACTGGAAGCTTTGATGTGAAATGATGGGAAATGTTACTTTTTTGAAGGTATAAAATCTGATTCACACTGGTTTATCCTTTATAACTGTAAAAAAATATTTCCAGATCCATTCATCTTTAAAAGCACCACACTCTGAATCAAATTTTATGCTTTTTAGTAGGCGTTTCGAGGTTGAAATATTTTACGAATATCCCAAAGATGTACCAGCAACACTATACTTTTTAATAATTTCACCACATTGACTATCGGTCCGTCATATTTCCATTCAACGACAGAATTAGCAATGTTAGAATTTGTGCCCACAGACGAGCGTAAAAAGACATGCATTGCTTTGCTATGTATATTCATCTGTTATCCTTCTTCATCAATATTTGCTATTAGAACTAACAGTCTGAGATTAGAACTGGGAAATTTTCAAGAGGAGATGTAACTTTTGCTATACTTCTCTGTGCTTGAGCCACAACAGAAAAACACTGAGTGAACCTTAAAATGTACAGTGTGAATGTTAATGAAATGAGAGAACAGAGCTTTTTCAAGAACACATTTTATGCACTGATCATGTGACATCCCTTTCTGTTTTCGCATGAGCTCTACATAATACATATTATATACTGCATAGCAACATAGTAATATTGAATATAATATTACACGATGAATAGTAATATTGTAAATGCATGAATATAGTTTTTTAATTTGTAGTGGGCCGGAAAAAAGCTTCAGATGAGCCAGAGCTGGCCTATGAGTCATAGTTTGCCCATCCCTAATATATACAGTAAAATATCCCTATTATGTCTATTGTATAGTACGTTACCAAATGTTCAATCAATGTTTTCTGTAATACTTTCCAACAAAGTATTTTTTCAATTTGTAAACTGCTCATTTACTGAAATTGGCACATTAATTAAACCACTTTTTTTTTTAAAATTGTAAAGCAATCTTTGTAATAAGGAAGTCTTACCAATTTGAATTACTCATTTATATTAACTTGCTTATACATTTTGCCACTTACATACACACAAATTACTTTGAAAATTAGTTTACTTATATTTACTTATCAATGAAAGGGTTAGAAAAGCGCAATTATCTCATAAATGAAATCATAAAAGTGTTTACTTACAACAACACTAAGAGCATCATGTGCTTCTTTTTCAGATAAACCATTAGTAAGGTTCAAAACATGGGAACAGCAACGTTCATATTTCTGAAATAAAAATAATTCAATGATTGAGGAAAATATTTTCATGATAAAATAACTATTTAAACGATATGTCCTACATCATAAAAACATGACAAAACTTTTTTCATATATTATAATTTTTTAAATGATGTTTTACTCATTAATACAAACTATAATTCAAGTTTCACTTAAAATCATATTATATCAATTAAAAGCATTTTTACAAAACTTCTCAAAGACTAAATTGTGCGATAAAATTTTTGAAAGAGAAAAAAATTATGATTTCATTTCTTCCCCTCCCCTCCAAAAGTAAACAACATACTACCCTCAAATGACATTAATTATTCTTCACGGACATAAATAAGTTGAATTCTTTCCAAACACAAAAATTCCATTTCAGGTTGTCATGAGAAACTAAATTAGTACAATCAAAAGTTGTTAATCCGGACTCGTCAGGACTTCGGCGATTCCGGATTATCGATTTTTTCGGATTATAGATCATCAGTTTAAATCTCGTAAGATGGCATGCAGAAATTCTAAAATTAAAAATATGAAACCGTAATTTATGAAATAAAGAACAATTATGATCTAAAAGGTATCAAAATTTAAAAAAAAAAAAAAGAAAAAAAAAAAAAAAAAAAAAAAAGAAGCTTAATATTTATTTGTTTACTTTATTAAACATTTCTTTCAATGTAAGTTGTTTAAGTTGCTTCGTTTTATGTGATAATACTTCCTCTTTAATTCTATAAACAGACATAATTTCTTGTTCAGTTACAAAGTTCCACTGTTCAAGTCCCGTTAATTGCTGTGCCGAGAATACCGACTAACTTGTCAATTGAAATTTTTTCGTTTTCATTAACCTCTCTGTCACATTCTTCATGTCTTTATCCATTTTTTGCAGCAACTCCACTTATTGTTTGATGGACATCGAAACATACTTTCGTTTTGTACGATCCTTTGGGAGCTCCAGAATCGGAAATTCTATTTGACATAATCGAAAGTTCAAGTTTACTTTTATAGTATTGCTCTTACAGTCTGCAAAAAATAATAAGCCGGATCCAATTCAAAAATTAAGGAACAACGCAATCATCAAAATTAACTGAAATAGATAATTTTAGGTTATACCTTCCATTATACATAAAACGCGCATGCGAAAACGTATTCTGCGCTTGCGCACACGCATATGCGCAGTTGTAAAAGGTCTTATGCGCATGTGTCAACGCAGCGCATGCGCAGAAAGTTTTTAGCTTTTAGGTCCAGATTATAGATCATTCCGGATTATGGGTGTCCGAATTAACGACTTTTGACTGTATTACATAAAAATTAAACAAAAGTATGCTTTGCTTTTATTACAGTAACATTAAGCTGCTCATTTTAAACCATTCAGTTTTTAATTTAACCAGCCATAAGATATTTTTATTTAAGAGTTTAATAATTTGTTGAATTAATTAGGGTCTCGATCTTTACAATACTTGCACCATTCTAAATGAACTAAACCTGATTTGGAATTGTAAATTTATCATTCAGTAATTTTAATTATTCTTAATTAATTGCTAATTCTAACCTTTTTGTTTCATTATTCGGAATTCAGCTTTGAGGTATTTTGGTTGAATTATTTAGTAATTTGTTTATTCAGTATTTTGATGTTTAAAATACTTACACCAGTCTAGTTGAATGAGTCTTATTTTGTACTCGTACATCAGAGCATTAAAATTATTTCTTAACGAAAAATTATGATGTGTACACCACATGATTTCCTTGTACGGAATATTAAATTATATGCATTTTTTCCTGCATTTCATTTAAACTTATTGGATTGAATAAAATCTACTTCGCCGACAGTGCATAAACCACAATAGAATAAATACATTCTTTAAAATTCACTCTAATATTTGTTTTATCATAGCGACACTCTGGCGCTAGATTCACTTAACAGTATTATATTTCGTTCATATTATAACTCATAATGCACAAAATATATATCATTTAAAGAATAGAATTATCTAATCGTTGCCACATGTTCTATTCTTGCAGAAAGGATTAAGCATGATTTAATTGGCAATAATAAATGAAGGGGCTATCTTTGTTGTTGCAAAGCTAAGTTTCTCTAGATTGGCAACAAATCCACTAGTCTGCTGTTTCAAATGTAAGCAATCAATGGCCGCCATAAAAAAAAGGGGCTTAGCGGCACTTTAACAACTTTAAAATTGTTGATAATTCTAAAAATATTGCATACAGATTTACTAAAGGCATAAAAACCTTAACCAGAAGATAAAAACAACATAATTCAATCATTTTTAAGGCAAAAAATGTACAATTTACAAACATATAAGAGTAAAGAAACTGAGATCAATGAGCCCGGTAACAGAGTTGATATATATATAAATATATTTATATACGTTTGGTGTGGCCGACTACAACCAAAATACAAGGTGCACATCTACATGTTATAGCAGTCCTATATACAAAATTTCAACATTCCGAGGCTACTTAATTTTGAGTTATGCGAGATACGTTCGTACAAACGCCACGATAAAATTCTCTTCAGAATTAATTTTAAAGCAGTTTTATAATTTTTTTTTTAGGAAACGAGTATTTTATTCTGCAAAAACATTGTTAAATTGCATTCGATAGCAGTCAAAATGGATATTTTCATTGAAATATGCTGCCTGAAACTTTTCGCAATTACAATACTTCCTTTTTACTTCGTACAAGGAAGTAAAAACATTAAAAATTCAAAATATGAATCGTACAATGGGTTCTCAGCATTTTTGGTCTCATGTACCATTTTCTCCATTGCTAGAAGAAAATCATTTCTCTTCTTCTTTCCAAAACTTGAAAAAGAAATAGATATGCCACCGGTAAAGGGTGAAAGTCATTAATGTGCACATTACCTAGCTAATCTGAAGGACTAACTGATTTGTTCCATTAAATTGTGAAATCAAGAGTTTTCCAGATTTTATCTAGGTAATGCACACATTAACAGCTTCTGTATCATTTTAAAGTCCAATAGTTTGTTTCTTTCATTTCCTTTCTCTCTCATTCCACTTTGCACATTACCTACTAAGCACTCACTAATCTGCACATTTCCTATTAGGTGCTCGTTAAACTGAAAATAAGATCTTTCCTGAAACCACAGCAATGTTTCTGTACGCTTTAAACATAAGGTTATCTGTTTATTTTTCAATATCCAAAATGTCAAGTTAGTACAATAAAATAATCAACAAATCAGTTGATAGAAACAATCATCATCAATTAAAAAAACTATAATACAAAGAATATAATGGTTTAAAATATTATTACAATTAAGAAAATGAATTTGCCTGACATATGATAAAACTATGCCCGCTTATTAGTGCAATCTAAAGATCAATGAGTTACATAGCAACTGGATTTTGCAACAGGAGACCTGTGTAAGTTATATTTAAATCTACAGTAATATTTTTTGAAACCCTCCTGATCAACAATTTAAAAGTGTAAGTGGTGGCTGTTTTAAGCACACAGAAACGTCGTTGTTGTTCCAGCAAAGAACATATTTTCACTTTAATAAATCCCTAGTAGGTTAGGTACTGTACTGATTACGTAGGTTATTTGCAGATTACCTAGGTAATTTGAGAAGTTAAAAAACTTATACCACACTCGCCCTTGTTAATCTGCAGATAACCTGTACAATAACTGTTTCTGCACTTCAGCGGTAACATATACATATTTAACTAGATTTACATGATTTTTTAACATGTTTCATACGTTAAACAACAAAGACTGTAGAAAATGTTGATAAATACCTAAACTTGAACAAAATTAGTTACTTATGTTCATAAAATAAAACTAACTAATACTTAACAGGTAAATAAAAGGCTGACCACATTGTCCCTAAAACTATGAAATTCTCCCCTAGTTGAGGATCATCAGATCATGTGGGGAAGAACTGTAATACTGCTGTAAACTTGGAATTACCATTCTTCGCAAATCCACATTTTACTAGAGAAAAGAAATGCTGGTGCATTTCATCATTTCCACATTTTAAGTCATGAGGTTTGGCAATAAATCACCATTTTATTGGTTTTAAAAAGGATTAGTTTGGCAGCATTTGAGTAGGTGATTTGTAAATTTCTTTACATTTTTTTAAAAATGTGAATCGTATTACTGTGATGTATATAAAGTTCTGATATTATAATAAAATTAAACTAAATATATTCCTACTTTCCCATTTGAAATTATCTAACTTTTGTGTTTGGCGAATGTTTTAAGCAGCGTTCCTACTAATGATTTGTGTGTGTCTTTTTCGCTTTATTAAGCATCATTTTCTTTGCATTTATACAATATACAATTCAAAAGCAAATCATAAAAATTTTAAAAGTATCATAGCAGCATATGTTTAGAATTCTCAATGCACTGTCACTTTATCAGATCTATGTTCAGTTTTCTTTGTAATGACTTGTAAATTTTCTTTTTGCTTTTTTATTAAGGTTTCATTTGTTAAATATCATGTTTTTTGCTCTTATACCACATAAATTCATTTCAACAGCAAAATCACAAAATATTTAATCCGCGAGCACGCACTGGGTCCAAAAGACCCAGTTCTTGTTTTTTAAAGAAAATGTTGTGAATATTCAGAAAAAAGTGACATTTATGTCAATAATAAATTTTATGATAAAATTTTTAAAAATATGCAAGTTAAAATTTTAAATTTCTCCAAATGCTTTTATGAATCAAAATTTCTTAAAGGAATAGAAAATCTAATTATTTATTAGCATAGGGGGAAAAATAGTATTGTATCAATATTCTTTACTCTCTGTCGATTCTTATTTTCTTTATTAGCACTACAGACACAGACGAAAATGCAACAACAAATGTGAGCAGCACATTGAAGAAAGTGTTTTCGAGTGTTCCAAATATAAATATTTTTCACATTCAGCGAAACGGATTTTCGTTTTTTTGTACTTTTTTGCTGGACAAACAATGCATTTTTTCTTTTTCTTTTTTTGCTTCCGATAATTTTCTCCTTTCTTACTCTCATTTTC